TTGAGAGTGAGTTTCAATTGAAATTCCTTCAATCAAGTCACTGCTTTGGATCAGAGTATGGTATTTTTAATAACTCCACAGTATTTTATGTTGTAATGTTGCACTTACTCTACTACAGTATATTCTTAATTCTGTTTTTATTAGTGGTGACACTCAATTAAAATGTTTTAGTTAATTGCAGGGTCTGTAATTAATTGATCACAATTGCAAAGTCTTTGACAAAATAATTAAGAAATGTGGGCTGTGGACACTAACAGCATTTTGCTGCTACATGTCTAGAATGGAAGTGCCATTTTAAGCTACAATGGCTTTGCTGACAGGCTAACTCCTTATAGCACAACTTGAACACAATAGTTTTTTTCCAGCATGACATCAGATTGTTTTTGAAGCATAAATGAGCCCCCATTGGACCAAGGGAAGCAGCTTTGTTGTTGCTTGCAGTTGTCACTTACATGCTCCTACCCAACTAGGGATACAGTGGTAGAAGTTCTTCCGGCAATCGGCAGGTTGTTAGCTTGATCTCTGCTCCTGTACATGGCAGCCTCACTTCTATCAGACCACCCCAGGTCAGCTGTGGCTACAAACCAGGAGCTTTCCACCATCAGTGTGTGAATGGGTAAGTGAATGGCTGAATGTAGAATGCAGCACTTTGGGGTCTATTGGGGTGATGTACTTGCACAAATAGGTTGCAAGTGCAACCTATTTTGTCAGATTTATGGGCGTACCAGAAAAGAGCAAAGGTTCCGGACGTAAATTTAACATGCAAAATATAAATGTGATTAATTGTGTTAAAATCTATGTAATTAATTTATCAAAATTAAAGTGTCCTGGCCCTAGTCTATATATATTTTACATTTTTATTTTCATATGAATCAGCACCTCTCTGAGTACTCCGGCTTAATCCTACAGTCCAAAAACATGACTGCCAGGTTGATTGGTCTCTCTAAATTCTCCGAAGGGGTGTGTGTGTGTGTGTGTGTGTGTGTGTGTGTGTGTGTGTGCTTGCTTGTTTGTCCTGTCTGTCTTTGTGTGGCCCTGCGATGAACTGGCGGCCTCCCAGGGTGACCCCGCCTCTCACCCATTGACCGCTGGAGAGAGGCATCAGCACCCCTTGCAACCTCACTGGGAATAACCAGGATAGATGGACAGATTTTATTTTAGATGGACAGATTTTATTACAACTTTCACCAAGCCAATATTAAGACCAGTAATTATTTCATGCCTGCAACTCAGCAGTTAATTCATGAAGCTAAAGGAGAAGTAACAAAATGCAGCTCATGTGTCTGAGCAATCTCACAATCTCTTTCTTTAACTGATTGTGGAGACATTCTAATCTTTCACATAACATCATATCCCAAGATCCATGCTAACACTGTCACCTTGCAGCAAGAAAGTCCTGGGTTCAAATCCCATTTGGAGGCTTTCTGCATGAAGTCTGCATGTTCTCCCTGAGCATGTATTCTCCAATTACTTTATAGTCCAAACTTAGTGTTTCTGTGTTAACCTGTGTTAGCTTGTTGACCTGTCCAAGGTGTACTCAGGCTTTTGCCTGATGATATTTCAAGGTAGACACCAGCCCCATGCCATTTCATTGCCAAGCTTTCATTGTTGAAGATGTAAGGCTAAATTAGACAAAAGGAAATGCCATGTTATATCACGTTCACATGTAAAAACTAATACCATAATATCTTGTGTTTTGAAGTAAACTCTTTTTTATTTAGCAAATGCCATGCATCTGAGTGTTTTGTAATGATGGAATCATAGGGACTAAAGACAATTTCTCAGTGACAGCTTATCTGAAGATTATATGGAACACACCGCTCCATATGATCCACAGTGTGTGTAAATAACTATATCTTATTATAATTTTAAATACCTATGTGAATCTTACGGAAAAGTCTATTAACTCCCTGCTAGTTTGTAACATAAGCACTATGTTTATGTTTCTTTCAAATAAATAATCCATCCATCCAACATAATTATCCATAGTTGGGCCAGAAGGGGTGCTGGTGCCAATCTCCCATCAGTCAACAGGTGAGAGGCAGGGTACACTCTGGACAGGTCGCCATTCCATCGCAGAGTAACACAGAGTCATACAGGACAAACAACCACACACACACACACACACACACACACACACCTAAGAAGAGCGATCAATCAACCTGAAAGTCATGTTTTGGACTCCAGAATATCCAGAGAGAACCCAAGCATGCAAGGCAAAAATGCTACCAAATGCCCTACTGTGCAGCCCCTCATAAATAATGTAAGATGTAAATATGTCAAACTGTTTTTCAGGGCAGTATCAGTTATTTGATGTATGTGTGATCTAATGTTTTCCACTGTTTAAAACTGATTTTAGGCAGCATCATGGATAGTTTCAGGTGTGACTGACGTATAGTTAAAAAGGGGTGTGTGTGTTGGTGCCCAACATGTGTGACACACATGATCAGGTCCGTGCAGCGGGAAGATTACCCTATGAGGTTGATAATTGAACCATAAATGAAAAAATCCAGGTAAATGCCACCCTGTGAGCGAGAATGCCACCAAGGGGGGAAAACTAAGCTCTGTGAGATCCTGAACTATTTCATTTCAGCTGTTTTTTGTGGTACCACTATCTTTTCTTATCTTCTTGGGGGCATTTTGCCACTTGGATTTTTCATTTTGGATTGAAACTTAAAGCCAGCAGTGGGGAAATATTCATAGGAAGGTTTTTTTTTAACATGTGGGATTCTACTATGGACTTCATTCTGATTTAAAATAATTTAATTTTGGGACATTTTTTGCTGACATGAACCAAGTTATTTAAACCTAAGCTGTTATTTTTGAGAGAATTCTGCTACTGCTCAGTTGTTTATTTTACATTATCATTATTTATGCTTACTATTATTGTTATGGATCTGTGAATAAAGTTATTGTTGATAACATGAACAATTTCCATAAGTATTTATTTATCAACAAATTAAGAGTGATTATCAAACTGGGTAATCTGATACCTGGAACAGAACCTCCTTGTAATGTTGTAAGTTCTGCTTTAAGTCAAGTTGAATGTCACAAGTTTATATTTCTAATAAATCACCAAAAAACTGTTTGGGCTTTCTATTGCCAACTGTCAGTTAAATGAGCATTGTAAAACTCTAGACCAGGGCTCACCAACTCCAGTCCTCCAGGGCTACCGTCCTGCAACTTTTAGATTCACCTCTGCTCCAAAATGTCTGAATTCCCTCACCAACATTCATTCCTCTCTGCAATAGGCTGGAAACGAGCAGTTTATTTGATCCAGGTGTGTTTGAGCAGAGACGCATCTAAAAGTTACAGGATGGTAGCCCTCGAGGACTGGAGTTGATGACCCCTTGATGACCCCCTGCTCTAGACTGTCTGATTAACTTCTAATATGTCCTGGACTCAAATGTCCTCATAAATAGTTCAGCCTCTCAGCTGCATCCTGATTAAATACCCATCACTTCCTGAGAGAAAACATTCCCTATTGAAAACATTCAAAACATGGGCAAATATTTAAAGAAGCTAGTTTTTTTTTTACCTTTTCTTTTCCCCAAATAATCCCATTGAGACTTAAAATGTCTTTTACAAGGGAAACATGGTCAAGAAGACAGATTTGAAACATGCAACACAAAACAGACTGCTTGAAACAACTGGTCCTCTAAAAGCAGTCATTAGCAGATTCCAGTAGCAGAGTACACCCCTCATATTTTGTAAATATGGTATAAGTGGTGGTCTGAGTCTGGACCTGTCCTCCTCACCTTTTTCTTTGGTCTTGATTGTCCCTCCCTAAAGTGTGGGGCTACTCCACTCTATAACACTGTTGTGCTGCAATTATGGTTCTGTAAATCTGACTTTTTTCTGCATTTCCTTGTTTAGTTAGTTTTGGAGTTACTTTCCAACATTCCATTTCATTTTGTTGTAGTTCATTCATTAAACTGATTTGATTACCATTTTATCATAAAACCATCCGTCCACCCGTCCGTCCATCCATCCATCCATCCATCCATCCATCCATCTTCTTACACCCATGTCCCAAGTGGGGTCAGGAGGGGTGCTGATGTCTATCTCCAGCAAACGTTTCGGGCGAGAGGCGAGGTCACCTGGACAGGTCACCAGTCTGTCGCAGGGCAACACAGAGACAGACAGGACAAACAACCATGCACACACACACACTCTAGGGAGAATTTAGAGACACCAATTAACCTGACAGTCATGTTTCTGGACTGTGGGAGGAAGCCGGAGTACCTGGAGAAAACCCACGCATGCACAGGGAGAACATGCAAACTCCATGCAGAAAGACCCCAGACTGGGAATTGAACCAAGGACATTCTCGCTGCAGGGCAACAGTGCTACCAACTGCGCCCATCATTAAATGTGTATATTCAATTTGGGGTTTTTTAGTAGCTAGATTGTAACGTGTTTGTCCTCTTCCTGATTTTCTGTTGTTTGCATTTTTGTCACACTTCAGTGATTCAGAACATCAAACAAATTTTAATATTAGTCAAGACAGCACAAGTAACACAAAATGCAGTTTTTAAATGAAGGTGTTTATCATTAAGGGAAAAACATATAACCTACATGGCCCTGCATTCAAGAGTGATTTGTCCTGTAATAACTTCAACTACATGCTCCAAAACACACAAAATAGGCTTTGAACTGACCTCACTCATAACAGATCTAATCAAGCTTCTGTTATCTTGTGTTACTATGTGTCATCATGTTTTGGCTGATTTTACAGCAATGAATCTAAAGAAGCATCTGACTGAAGACTGTTGCTGTATGTAGATCATCATCGTTATTTAGTCTGTGGTTCAATGCTTATAAAGCTGATTGGCGAAGCCCCAAATTGTACTTAAGGCCTCAAACAACATTGAGCCGGCCCTGCTGGTGTGCTAATGCAACTTCCTTTGTAAATAATACTTCTGGCCAGGAGGAAATGGAACCTGACCACTTCTTCACATTTTCAACAGTGCAGTAGCCTGGTGTGTGTTAGTGATTACCTCCCAGCGGCCATGGGTCATGAAGAACAGGGAGAAGGGGATGGCTGTCCCTGACATGGCGTGGGTGGACGGCATGCTGTACTCAGAGTTGTAAAACATTTCCACTTTGACCACAGGTGGGGAAGCGGGTCGGGGCCAGCCGATTACATCCTTCGTGCACTGTCCCACGTACATGACCCAGACCCACACCATGATCAACCGTCTGCTCACGAAAGCGTCCACATTCCACATGATGAAGGGGAAGAAGATGATGTAAAATAATTCGTTTCCCAATTCTGTCCCGAAGGTGAACAAGTAAAACAAGAAGCGGTTCTCGATGACAAACTCCTGCCCCGCTTCGCCCGTCAGAGAATTTCTGCGGAGGGGTTTAAGAGTGCTGCCCCGCACAGCGACACTTTCTCCACCTGGGGACAGAGCAGCCCCGTTCGGGGGAGCGTCTTCCATGTCATGCTTGAGGTTTCTAGGGTCAGTCACGTCTGCGATCCTCCTCTGAACTCCCATACTGGTCAACTGTTCATTTCCTGTTTCCCCGGCTGTGTGATGATGGAGAGCCCCGTTGTTGCGAGAACGAGCCTTATCTACTGACCTGCAGCTGTCAGAGGTCGAACTATCGGCAGGAACAGGTTCTGAAAGAGTGCCCCGTATCCCGCAAATAAGCTGAAAGCGGGCGACAAGGTGAGGGTCTTGGAGGTAGCGAAGGTACTCCATAACTCTCACCATGTTGAGCTGGCTCTCTTCGCGGAGGTGCAGGAGGAAACATGGACTTGTGTACTTCCTCTATGCGGTGGGTGTTAGCTCCCAGGCTGCCGTCTGCTGGCTAGGGCAGCTATCTGAGGTGAAGCGCGAACCATGAAAAGAGCTGAGAAAGTTGGGACGACGACCCGTAAAACATGTACAACGCAGTGCAGGAGACAGTGGCCTGTACAGTCACAGCAGAAACACAAAGACACAGACGGGGAGGTTCAGGGAAAAGTGGAAAACACACTTTCTCCATTGCGTTCAAGTGCTGTTGGAAATCTTGCTTGTTTTGTCATGTTCATATTTGGTTGATAAATAATCCACGATAGAACTGTACTGTCATAAACTAGCCCAGGAATAATATTATATTTGAACTAATTGTTGATCAAGTTCCTTGTGTGGCAAAAGTTCTTCGTTGAAGATTTTGTCTTGCCTCTCAGAGCACCTGACTGTAGCCACAGACAACATTAAATGCAACATGAGTGTCCTCACCGTACGTCTGTGTCAACGCCATGTTGAGAGTGTCATATTGACACCTATAATATGTGATGATTTTCAGATGCATTTCAGTTGAAATAATTTTATTTGTTAAGATGACGATTTAAAGATTTATGAGACTGGATGTCCATGTTCCTTTTTCTCTCTCAGCTGTGGGTCACTGCTGAAGTTAGCTTCAGGACTGTTGCTTGACTAAACTCAAGTTCTCCCCGGCTCATGCCTCATTCTAAAGGTTTATTCTTTTATCCTGAGCTATCTCTGCCATAAAGCTGCTATAGGCTTGTTCTTTGTTTCCTGCTATTAACCTTGTACTGTCATGGACGGTGAGTGAGGGGTGTGAGAAGAGACGCAGAGACCCAGGTTGTAGAAGAAAATGATGAATTTAATGAAGACGCTCAAAACAGTCCCGATCAGGCAGCACGGCAGAAAGGTAGCACACAGCTAAATACCGGTAGCAACTGAAAAGACTGGGGACTGAAGCGAGAGCTATGCCAACACAGGACTTGACAGTACAACTGTGAAGGTATGCAGACAAACAAGGAGTGATGTACACACGACATTAGACGTACGACCAGGATCTGACGAGGAACACAGACAAAAGGTGGGACTAAATACACTGGGGGGGTTGGGGGGTAATCAAGGAATGAGACACACCTGGGAAGCAATCAGCGGGGAAGACGCAGAAACAACAGACTCAGAACAGAAACTGAACACAGAAAAACCTTAAAATAAATACATAGAAACACAAATCATGACATGTACTTTTCATTAACATAGAAAGTACTTCTACATCAGCTCTTCTGTTTTTTTGTTTTGGCATTTTTTGTCTTCTCAAACCCCGTCAATAATGGCAGGTGGCTGCTCTTACTAAGCCAGGTTCTGCTGGAGGTTTCTTCCTGTCAAAGGGGAGTTTTCCCTCTCCACTGTCGCTACATGCTTGCTCAGTATGAGGACTTGCTGTAAAGTCAATGACACAACACAAGTGATTCTCTACTGTCGCTACATGTTTATCCAGGAGAGTCCTGCAAGTCAATGACTTGATGCAATCTGCTGAGTTTTGTTAGACAGAAGACATCTAAACTAATTTGAATAATGAACAACTCTAATGCACTGTTTGATAACTAGAATTTATTGGAATACACCCATGATTCAATTCAAACAGCTTTTTTTGTGAAGTGCCTTAAGACAATATTGAAATTAATTCAATTAACTACAGTTTAAGCTTGTAATAAATGTGTACAATAATTTTTACTATCTGAAAATCTAAAATATATTTTAACTAGGTAGAATTATTCTCAACTACAAAGATTCTTTAAAATAAGTGTATGTGAAACTTTTATTTTGATTGTGAAAATAAATGTTTTAAGAGATATGAAAGTGACATTCAGGAATACCAAAAATGCTTCACATGACAAAGTAGTTTTGATTAATAATTTAGTCCATTTGTGAACAGTTTAAGTATCTCAGATTACGAATTATGTGATTCTGATTCTATCAGGTTTTGCACAAACAATGCCAATTGTTCTGTCAGATAGCCATATGCTGTCAGGATAGCATACATGCAGTTAGTACGCATGCCCGCGCATGCGCATTAAGAAGTCCGACCGTCAGTGGAGTTGTCAGTTCAGCATACGCAACAAGTTATGACGAAAATAAGTTATTAAATTGTTTATAATATGATATAATATGATAACTAGATAGATATACATGCGTTGTTGTGGTTTCAAAGTGTATTTAAAGCAGGGTCTAGCTGCAGCTGCAGTCAACTACAACACACGCCCGTGTAAAACTCATTAACCTACTTAACCGCTAAGTCAGGATGCCATCAAAGTGTATGCCAATAACAAAGTGTATGATGATCTACGTCATGATTCTATGTTGCTGATTAAATAAAATCATATGGTAATGACGTGTCTGACAGATACAGCCGTTGTTGCCATACGCTGTCAAAATGGCATACATGCAGTGAGTACCA